TGTGAAGAAGAAAAGCGGCGCTCAGCGCATCATCTTCGATACCAGAGTTGCGAATTGCAGGTTCGTCGATCCACCGTCGACGCGCCTCCCTTCCCCTTCTGCGTTCGCTTCTCTTGAGGCCGAGGGGGGCCCTCTGTATGTAGCGAGCGGGGATCTGGATGTGGCTTTTTATCATATGCAGTTGCCTAAAGGAATGGAGCATATGTTTAGCTTGCCCTGTATAGATTCCTCTTATCTGCAGAAGTTTCACATTCCTGGTGTCCCTGACGGGGCCGGCGTAACTATGTTACCTTGCGTACGGGTGCTTCCTATGGGCTTCTCATGGGCTCTCCATCTTTGTCAGAACGCCCTGGAAGGGGCTTTGGACAAAGGGGGCTTCAAAAGGGACGAGCAGGTGTTGGACGGCAGGCCGGGAGTGGTTCTTAGATATCCTGGGGACACCGCGTCAGCCGCATATGTGGACAACTTCCTCACCCTGGGGCATGACCCGGGGACCGTGGCCAGTCGTCTCAATATTGTCGTCAAGCAGTTGAGGGGCCTGGGCCTCGTCGTCCACGAGCTTGAGGGTGCCAGCAAGGATCGAGAATTCTTGGGGATGTCGCTTCGAGGTGGTCGTTATCTTTCGGTGAAGAGTCGCAACATTTGGAGGCTTCGGTATGCCTTGGATGACTTGCTGGCCAGGCCGAGGGTGAGCGGACATCTCTTGCGTGTTATCGCCGGTCACATCACCTGGACGAGTTTGGTGCGCCGCGAGTGTCTGTCCTTGCTGCATGCCACGTACGCGTACATCCAGTCCGCTGGCCCCACACCCTGTTGTTTGTGGTCCTCCGTGAGGCAGGAGCTCGTGAGCGTTCGCAACTTGTTGCCATTGTTATGCGTGGACCTGCAGGCTGATTGGCATCCCTACGTTGCGTGCACAGACGCGTCGCCGTTCGGTCTTGGGGTCGTCCGCCGCAAGATGAGCCCGGTCCAGGTCCAGGAGCTAGGTCGGCAGAAGGAGAGGTTCCGTTTCAAGATCGAGGGTGGTGCTCAGGCCCGTCGTAGGGCCTTGGAGGAGGTTGGGATGGACGAGGAGACCAAGATGATCTTGGAGCGGGAGGAGGGTCCTTTGTGGGCCTTGAACGAGGAGGAGCCAGACCCGAGCACGGGGGAGTTCTTGGAGGTGCCTAGGCAGCTTCTGCGTCCGGGGTGCTGGAGCTGTGTATCGGCCACACATGTCGAGATGGGGCCCAACATCCTGTTTCTTGAGGGAGAGGCCCTGGTCATGGGCTTCAAGAACGTCCTGAGGAGCTGCAAGGCCCACGGTCGTCGTATCCTGATCCTCTCGGACAACCTTCCCCTGGTATTGGCAGCGGGCAAAGGACGGGCCAAGTCAGTTCACCTACGACAGTGTCTGTATCGTATATGTGCTCTATCGCTGGCAACGGGCTCGAGACTCGCCGTCCGGTGGGTTCCGTCTGAGCTCAACCCGGCCGACCCGGTCTCCAGAGGCGAGGTCGGCTGGTTCTCTGGCGCGCGCTCATATGGCCCGTCCTGGCCGCATGGCAGCCTCGCGGTTGGTGCTGCTGACGCTGGGCGCGGGCTGCGGGCTCCTGCTGCCGCCCTGCGCGCAGGGGGCGCGGACGTCCCGGGCGCCGGCGGCCTCCGCTCTGAAGCGCGAGCGGGCCCAGGCGGCTGCACAGGTGGCTCGGGCCGCGCTGCGGTTCACCGGGCTGTCGACCCTGGAGAATGCCGCGATCCTGCCCTCGACGGCCAAGAACTACCAGATGGCTCTCGAGGCCTTTGCGGCCTTCTGCTCGGCGCGCCGCCGGGACTGGAGCTCGACATCGGAGCTGGACGCGCTGCTGGTGGAGTACTTCGACCAGATGTACCTCCTGGGCGAGAACGGCAACACGGGGTCCCAGCTCCTGGCGGCGCTCAGCCATGTGATGCCGGTCTTGTACAAGGCGGTGCCTCGGGTGTTTCCGCGGGCCAAGCGGTGTGCCATCGCGTGGGCCCGCCGGGCTCCGGCACACACGCGGCTGCCGCTGCCGAGGTGTGCCTGCTTTGCGATCGCGGGCATGCTGGCCAGCTGGGGCCTGGCGCGGATGGCCATCTGCGTGATCCTGAGCTTCCTGTGCTACCTGCGGCCTGGCGAGGCGCTCCGCCTCCGGGGCCGCAGCCTGGTCCAGCCAGCCGCGGCCGCGGGGCAGGTGTACGACAAGTGGGCGCTCCTGCTGCACGACGTGGTCGATCGTGTCCCGAGCAAGGTCGGCCTATTCGAGGAGTCGGTGATCATCGACAACGCGAGCTGGCTCTTTCGGATCCTCGAGGCCTTGAAGCTGGCCACGCCAGCCGAAGCCTCTCTCTGGGATTTCGACCTCGGCGAGTACAAGAGGGCTTTCGGCGAGGCGGCCAAGCACCTGTCGCTGAGCCGCCTCCGCCCGCACCTGTACTCGCTCCGCCACGGGGGGGCCTCGGAGGACATCATCCGCGGGCTCCGCACGCCGGAGCAGGTGCAACGCAGGGGCAGATGGGGCCACAGCAGCAGCATGAAGCGGTACGCAAAGGAGTCGAAGCTGCTCGCCGAGCTGCACTGGGTTCCAGCCGCCACGCTGTCGTTCGGCAAGTTGGTCGAGGCGAACTTCAAAGCGGTGATCGAGGGCGCCCTGGCCAGCGGCCCGCATCCGCTGCGCTCCCAGCTGCCCGCCGCCCTGGCCAGCCTGGTCGGCGCCCGACCCAGCCTGGCGGCGGCGGCCAGCCGCGGCCGCAAGCGGCGCCGCCGCTGATAGCGGCCCCAGGGGCCGTGCGGGCCCACATGCTGGCTGCTTTCCGCAAGGCTGTAGGCGCGGGGCGGCTGCACAGGCGGTTCGTCTTCGTCGAGCTGTTCTGCGGCAAGGGCTGCATCACGGCAGCGCTGAAATCTGACGGCTTCTCGGCAATCGGGTTCGACATCGGCCGCGGTGCTCACGAGAATCATTTGGTGCATGAGTTTTTTGAGGTGCTTCATGGATGGGTCACATCCGGCTGCATAGCCGGCATCTGGCTCGGGACGCCTTGCACGACGTGGAGTCAGGCCTTGCGCCGGCCTCTGCGCTCGCGGCGGCATCCCATGGGGCTGCCTGGGCTTTCGGCGAGCGAGCTGGCGAGGCTGGAGGTGGGCAACTCGACCTTCAAATTCACGTGCAAGGTCATCCGCCTCGCTATGAAGTGGAAAGTTGCTGTGTACCTTGAGAATCCCGCGGGCTCCTTGATGTGGCACGCTCCTGAACTGGCCCAGCTTTTGCGGGCGCCTTACGCCCAGAAGATCCAGCTTCACATGTGCCAGTACGGGGCGCCGTGGCGGAAGGCGACCAGCGTCGCCGCCTGGAATTCGCTGCCGTTGCTGAACCTCAGTATCCGTTGCTCTGGTCGATCAGGAATTTGCTCGATGTCTAAAAAACCACATGTGATTCTGTCCGGGCACGCCCCTCACGGTCCTCACTTCACTCGTCTGGCGGCTGAGTACCCCAAAGCTTTCGCCCAGAAGTTCAGTCGTGTGATGCAGCGATCGTTCGAAGATAAACGTGCTCGGAGGTTTTCAAAGTATGCTGTTGATATGGCATTGGGTTCTTAAGGAAGTTATTCGGCCTCCTTCTGACTATCGACCAGTCGGCCAGCTCACCATACGGGTATGGGTGTGTGCTCTCGGCTCGGCGTTCCTCGGCATCGATGTCTCGAAGTCACTTGCCTGGTCAGCCCCTCACACAAAAATGAGCCTGGCGGGAGAGAACGGTAGGCGAGCTGTCACATTTTACATGTTTAGGCATAGCCCATCCTGGATCCCGCCGCAACTGCCACGCTCAAGTCTTCCCTCCCTCCCCCCCTCTCTCGCGTGCCTCTGTGGGTGTGTGTCTGTGCTGTGCTTCTCTCTCCGATCCCTCCTCTGTTATATTGCTCAGCAAGCTGTAAACGCAATTTCTTTAAGCAGGGTGTGTGCTCTCGGCTCGGCGTTCCTCGGCATCGATGTCTCGAAGTCACTTGCCTGGTCAGCCCCTCACACAAAAATGAGCCTGGCGGGAGAGAACGGTAGGCGAGCTATATATATATATAGATATATACGTGCATGCATGTACGCATGCATACATACATACATGTATCTAATGCCCTTCAGCTCATACCAGCACCGTGCCTCCGTTTTGACTTCGTGGGGCCATTCTGGGGCTTCTTGGAGTCTCCTGGCTAAGTACCTCTTGGGGCCACTAAGGGCATCCTGGGGGCATCTTGGGTCGCAAGGCTTGAAGTGTCGATTCGGGCTCCATTTTTGCAACCCTCTTGGGGCCGTCTTGGGACTCTCTTGGGCCGTCTTTGGCGCCTGTTGAGCCATCTTGGGGCCCTCCTGGACCGTCTTGGAACCCTCTTGAGGTCTCGGGGGTCTCTTGGGCCTTCTTGGAGCGTCGGAAGCTCGGAAAGTCGAGTTCCCCAAAAACATTCAAACCAAGTAAAGAAGAATCAAAGATTTAAGCCCGTCGGGGCCCTCTTGGGAAGGCTTTGGAGCTTTCTTGAAGCGTCTCGAAGGTTTCTTGGGCCATCTGGGAGCCACCTTGCGTGTCTTGGACCGATGGCATAGCGAGTCGGGGGCACCCTTGAACCGTCTGGCTGGCCTCTTGGGGGTGTCTCTTGGCCTGTCTTGAGGCCCTCTTGGCCTCAGCCGACCACAAAATCACGCGGGGACACCCGACGTTTCCCAAAGGGCACGCGGTAGACCCTGGGGGAGTGGAGAACTTGGGGTCCAGGCCCCTAGAAGAAGTCGGGATGGAAGGCAGGTTCAGGGGTTGAGCAGGGACCCGGGGAAACCCCACCTCGTGCCACAGGGGGGAGGGTGGCGGGTAGAAAGAGAGAGAGAGAGAGAGAGATGGAGAGTCGGCGACCAGAGATTGGAGGCCCCCGTGGCCACAGTTGGGTTCGCCTCGAAGTCCTCGTCTTGACACGCTCCGGGCAGGACGGGAGGTCTATTCTGATGGGGAAGGGTGAGCACACAGGAGAAAGGTTTATCGCCTCGGCCTCAGACGGCCTCGGCCTCAGACGACCTTGCCTGTTGGCATGACCAAGGTTGACCGGTCGCTTTAGGCAGGATGAGCGCAACATTCTTTGCTTTGTCGCTAAGCGCAGGCTTGGTTGTGATTTTGCCGGCGCCAGCACCTTTTCAGCGCGATGCAATCATACACAACGGTAAGTGTTGTTTTGTTAGTCTTGCTGCTTTGTAGGGCTCCAGTTCGCATCTCTGCATCACTGCCTCGACCCACCCCTCTCATTCACATCTTCATTGTTGTCTGATTCGCTCGGCTCACACTGCTCTGCATTTTGTTTGATAGGTTCAGTTGTCTTTGTGTTGTACATTCGCTTTGTCAGTTGGCATTCAGTTCACGCGTTTTCCTCAACGTTCTTGTCAAATCATAGATGATTATGTCCTGCGTTCTCTTCCACTCAGCTCAGGACGCATGGCATTGCGTATGGAATTGCCACATTGGTCCGCCATGGTTTTTCATTTCATAGGACGCGCGTCTTGTCCGCGTCTCTGTGCGCAAGTGCACCGCTTGCCAGAGAACCATTGTGTGCGCGCAATGTTTCAGATTTTATTTAATTGAACTCCCCTGAGGGGTCAGACAACGCCGCCCCACTTCTTTGGACACGTGGAGAACTTGGGACGCCTGGCGGAGGAAGAGGAGGGCAATTGAAATGGTCCGAGGAGGGCAATTGAAAAGGTCCAAGACGGCCCCGGAGGGCCCTCGAACAGGCCAAGCACTGCACAGGAGGGCCCCAAGAGTCTCCGGGAACGGCACCAGAGTGCGCCCCAGAGCTTCGAAACCGGCGCGAACGAGACCGAGGGATACGGAGAGTCGGAGCCGGACGAAAGGGAGGGATTGGGAAAGGGGGGGTTACAAAATTTGCTGCATGCAGCTGGTTTCGGCCCCACCGAGGGGCCCATTCCTCGATACATGGGCGCCTCCGGCGCCGGGAGGCGCCGGGAAAATCAGCTGCGTGGGCTGATTCTCAAACCCGCCCTTTGCTATCCCCCCCTTTCGCCCGACCCGAGATACGGAGCGTCGGAGGCGGATAGACCTCCTGCCCCGACACGCGGACGGAGGCATTGGCCGTTTGCGGTTCGCGAGGGCGCGTCGCGGCCGTCGGTTTTGCGGGTCCAGGGCCCCAGGCCGATTTTACCAAGGGGAGGTTTACTTCAGGAGGGGAACAAACACACAGACACAATTGATCGTCGATTCCTAAGCAAATACATCGGCAAATACGGGCCTTGGGGGGGAAGAAAAACAAAAACAGAACAAATGGGAAACTAAGGGGAATCCTTTTATTTGTGTGCACTTGTTTGTGTGAGGAGGAGGAGGAGGAGGAGGAGGAGGAGGAGGAGGAGGAGGAGGAGGAGGAGGAGGAGGAGGAGGAGGAGGAGGAGGAGTGGGAGAGGAGGAGTAGGAGGAGGAGGAGGAGGAGGAGGAGGAGTCCCAAGGCCCCTTCATTACTGTAAGGGAGGTCTGCCCACCGCCGGGAGAGGTGAGGAGTTCCGGGCCAGCTCTCGGGCCGCGGAGGGCTCTCCAGGGACCCCCGCTGGGCGCGCCCGGCATGCGGCTCCAGAGGGAGGAGGAGGAGGAGGAGGAGGAGGAGGAGGAGGAGGAGGAGGAGGAGGAGGAGGAGGAGGAGGAGGAGCAGGAGGAGCAGGAGGAGGAGGAGCATGAGGAGGAGGAGATCCGACGGGGCGGCCAGGCGGCCAGAGGTGGGGCCGAGGGGCCTTCCGAGCGGCTCGAGAGGCTCCGGAGGTGTTCCAGCGCGGCCAGAGGCCAGGCGAAGGCTGGCAGACTGGCTGCCAAGACGGAGCTCCGGGAAATGGTTGCTGTTCCCTCCGGGAGGCAGCCCGTTTACCATTTCGCGCGCTGAGGTTTGTGCCAGGAATTTGTTGCTTCCTTCCGGGACGACCGTTTTAGCAGCCACGGATTTGCCAGCCTTCGCTCAGCTTCCGAACGTGGCCAGAGAGGCCCCAAGAGTGCCACAAGAGGCTCCACAAGAGTTCCAAACGGCGCAGAGAGAACCCCGAAGGGGCGAAAACCATCCGACTCCCCCTTGGCTCTGAACGGCCTGGGGCATCGTCTGGTTCTCGGCTCAGCATGACTCGAGAAGGGCTCCGGAGGGGTCCGAGACGGTCCCAGAGGGCCCCGAGGACGGGCCAGAGGTAGAGGGAAACAAGTACTGAACACTCCCCCTCCCCCCCAACCTCACTGTTGGCACGCGCGGGGGAGACTGCGGTCGAAGTGCATCTCATCAGACCCACCGCTAGCTTTGAACATTGGGGGGAGGGGGAGCCGTTGACAGATGAATGTGGCATGACTGTTCGCTAATTTGTTCCGAGGCCTGGAGGAGCCCAAGAGGGCCCCAAGAGATCTCCAGGAGTGGCCAGGAGGGCTTCCTGGAGGGCCTCGGCCGGCGCCCCGCCCCGGAGGCGTCCAGGCGTCTCCCGCCGTGCGAGGGCGTGCTTCCGTCGGGGTTGGATAGACCTCCCACCCTGACACGTCGATTAAGGAATTGGCCGTTCTCGGCTCGCGCGAGGGCATCGCGGCCGTCATGTTTGCGGGTCCAGGCCCGCCGGTTTCGGCCCCAGGCCGTTTTCACTAAGGGGAGGTTTACTAAAGGGAGGTTTGTCCACCGCCGATTCCGCGGAGGGCAGAGTGGCGGCCAGCGGAGGCCCGCTGTGCAGCCGGGGCCCTGCGCCAGCGGAGGGAGCAGGCCGCGGGGAGGACCCCAGGATTATGTCGGGCGTGTCCCCCCACAGGGGGATTGTCGACGGAAGAAAAAAAAAATACCCCAAAAAGGTCAAGAAATACTCAAAAAATAGTCCCCAGACTTTTTTAAAATCCTATTTTTGGGGTGTTTGTTTTTGTTTCGTCGAAAATCCCCCTGTAGGGGGACAGGCCCGACTTAACCCCAGGAGGGGTTGCGAGGGCCTATGGAGAGGTACAGTCGGCCCGGATGAGCAGGTCGACCCTGCCAGCTCAAGGGGACCCTTTTGTCCAGTGCCCCGCGGCACGTGCCTTCTCACACTCCTATGGCGATGTGGCCCTTGGAAGGGGCTTGCGTCCTCTCGCGTGTCCTGTCCAATCAAGGCCGACTGTATCGGTACGAGGAATGTGCGGGTAAGACGATTGAGGCGAGACAGTCCTTTGCAGACCATGTGGCGGGGATCTCACACGCTGTACCCGGTTGGGCGGCGGATCGCTTCGCTCATTCCGCCCGCCCGTATTGTATCGCTGGTACTACATCATGTTCGTGTGCTTGTGTCGAGCACGAATTAGGAGGAGGAGGAAGAAGATGGGAGGATGAGCATGAGGCTTCTGGATGGCTTCTTGGAGCATTCTTGGGGCCAAACCGGGTCGTGGACAAGACACCTTCGGGAGGTTTCTTTGGGCTTCGTGGGAGGCTTCTCGGCGGCCTGTTGGCGGTTTTGGGTGGGACCTCTGGGGGCCCGTGGGGGGGAGGGGTATTTTGTGCTCAGGGGGGGGCATCTGGGGGCATGCTGGCGGTCTCGGGGGCCGTCTTTCGGGAAAGGGTTCGACATGTCAGTTCGGACTCCCCGTCTTGGGAGCCTCCGGGACCCTCTTGAGAGGCCTCCTTGGGCCGTCTTGAGGTCCTGTTCGGCTGGGCTGGGGCCGTCCAGCGAGCCTCTTGGGCTGACTTGGGGCCGTCGAAAGTAGGAGCCTCTTGGGCTGCAGATCGGAAGATGGAAAAGGCACAAACGGCAGACTTCTTCACCAATCAAGCAACAATCTATAAGGTTTGGCCTTCGGCGCCGCTCTTGGAGCTGTACAGTCGGGGCGCTGAGCAATGAACCCTTTTCGTTGGGGACGGGCTCCGTGTTCCTTAATTGTTTCACAGTTTGCCTTAGGTTGTCCTTAGGTTTTCGATGGGGAATCGAAATTTAACTTATGGAAAAAAGGAGCCTCGTTCCTTATTTAGGGTTCCTTAGGTCAACGCCCCGACTGTATTGTGTCACTTGGAAGGTAGATTGAGGGAAGGTCTATTGAAGCCTGTCGGAACTCTGGGGGCCATTTCGGGGCCCGTTTCCCATGGAGCTCGACGGAAGTACCCTCTTTGGAGCTCCGCTTGGTTCCCTCGGGGCGCTCCTGGAGCGCTCTCTGGGGGTCCAGAAGACCGCCCAGGGGAGTTCCTGCAGACTTGAGAGGACCTTGCCGGCGTTATTTCCGCTGGCGGCCCCGCGCGCGCGCGAAGCAGAAGTGTTCTGAACCTGCCAGAGATCTTAGCACGCCTCTGGCCCGTTGGGCCGGCGAATTTGAGCCGCGATGCTCAGTAGCAGGGGCTCAGATGATACTACTGTTTCCCATGGCCACTTTGGCGTTGCATATGGAAGTGCATATGGAATTGCCACGTCCGCCATGTTTGTTTAGTTTCGTAGGACGCGCGTATGGACCGCGTCGCCGTGCACAAGTGCACAGTTTGCCAGAGAACCGTTGTGTGAGCGCAAGGTCTCTGATGTTCTTTGAGCCGCGCTGCTCAACAGCAGGGACACACTAGTTAGCCGCTGGTGCGCCTCTGCCAGAACAGTAAAAGCGAGAGGGTATCATCATTCGCGCCCCTCGGACACACAGATCGGCGTTGAGAGGGCAGCGCATTTGTCTGCAGTGCTGGGAGGGTCCGGAGAGGGGGGGATGCATCGGCCCACCCACGCGTTTCGATTTCTGTGTCGCTCTTCATTCGGGGAGGCATAGTGAGCCAGGGGCTTTGAGCAAAAAGTCAACGCACGCTGGGCTCCATGTGCCAGGGGTTCGCAGCTACTTCTCCGCAGAGAGCGAGGCTAACAGCAAAGCCAATAGCCCAAGACGATGTCGACGACGACGCAGACGGCAGCGGCGCCGGCGACGACGACGACGGCGGCGGGGGCATTTGTCCTGAGCTGCTCCTGGCATGCCAGGAGCTTTCCTAGGAATGCCAGGGACACTTGCGGACGGCGTTGTGCCCCTGGCGTGCTGGGGACTGCTGTCAGAACGCCAGCGGGCAGTTGGGCGACGGGAGAAGCCGCGTCGATTGCACGGACATTCGCGCGTAAGTTTCAAGGTGAAGGCCGCGCGTTCAGCGAGTCGTGCTCCATGTAGCGTGCCACGGTGGCGGCCCGCATAAGACATGTCTTGAGCTCGCTTTGACATCATGCGTTAGATCTATGTTTTGTTCGTCGGGCGGTTGTTTTTTGTCGCTGCTTGCTGTTGTCTGCTGCTGGTCTTGGTTGCTGGAATTTATCCATGGCGTACCAGCGCGCGCGTCTTGGCAC